GGGCTAAACTTGGAAACTGGCCTTCCTGGTTCTTAGCCTAGCTCTCTGCTTTCCTATACACAGCCTCTCTACTATGTCATATAAGGTGGGAAAAGGCTTTCAGAAAGGTGTAGACAACATACCATAGGAAAGGGACTGTTAACTGTGTGTGTGTTGTGGACCTTTTTGTGGGGTCCATGGTGGACATCATGCATGGTCCATGGGGAAGTCAACAGACCCCCTCTCAGAATAATGTGTTTAATGTGTATAATGTGTTTAAATGCATAAAATAAAATCTATAGAATTACAAATAAAACAAATGATTGAAATATAAGTGCTTATTGACTAACTGAAATGCAGTTACTAAATTTTTAGAAATAGTTCACAGATTCTGCTATGGGAAGTTAGTGCAGGGTAATATCACATTTAGCTGAGGTGCCCAGGGGCATCAGCATGAATGAGGAGCTGTATGGGGGGAGCCTTGAAGGATGAGAATGCATCTGACTTTGCTCTTTAATATCTTGTCCCTTATTGTCCCCATCAATGTCTGATCATATCTGCAGAACATCCCCTGTAGATGGGAGGATGTGAAACCAAGGTTCCAACAATTTTCACACTACCTTTATTCCCATCTCATCCAAAACACTCTTTTTACATATTAGGAAGCCAAGGCCCTAAGAAATGAGATGAGTTGCCTGGTCTTCAAGTCATGAGTGACAGAGCAGAGCTAAGAGGCCAGGTCCTCTGCCTCCAAATACTACCATATCTTGTTGTTTCTCCTTCTACAGAAAAGGATTTCCTAACAATTTCTAGGTATGACACAGCTCTGATGCAGCCATGACCATTCTAGGACACAACAGGACACCTTGGGATGGGCAGCTCTCTTCCTCCCCCCCAGCATATAGTCACACTCTAGGTCAGTCACTTATGGGCCTACATGCCCCAGCCTATTTCTCCCTATTATATTTATGTCCTCTCTCTTTCACACCCACAGGCCTGTAGACATCCCTGCACACCACACATAATCAGACCCAGGGCAGCCATTCTCTCTTCCCTATAATTGTCACCTCCCCCAAAGAGAGGGAAAAAACAGGAAACCCATAATGGAATGTATTGTATCAGTCCTGAAACAAACCAAGATGTCTCACCTCCTCTACAGCAGGACAGGCCAGGCAAGCTCCAAATCCTCTATCAGGTTGTTGTTGTTGTTTCTAAACTCACTTTTTTTCTGAGAAAAACAAAAGATCTAGCATACCTATATATGCACTCCTTGTTGTTGTTTTTGTTGAGTTGTTTTTCAGTCTTGTCTGACTCCTTGTGACCCCATTTGGGGTTTTCTTGGCAAAGATACTGGAAGGGTTTGCCATTTCCTTCTCTGGCTCATTTTACGGATGAGGAAACTAAGGTAAACAGTTGTAAGTGACTTGCCCAGGATCACATAGCTAGTAAGTGTCTAAGGCCAGATTTGAACTCATGAAGAGGAGTCTTTCTGACTCCAGGTCTGGCACTCTCTCTACTTTGTTGCTGCCCATATATATACCTACTGAGTTATCAGTTCTTCACAGGACAGAGGTGTTGCTCTGATTGAGTTGGGCAAGGGAGTGCATTTTTAGAAAATCAGATACACAAAGCGTCAAAATAGCAAAAACAAAAAACAAACAAATAAACTAAAAAACCAAGAGAGAGTATTTCTCGTTATAGGCATGCCTTTGGGATATTGCAAATTCAGTTCCAGACTACTACAGTAAAATCAATATCGCAATAAACCAATTCTTACAAAGTTTTTGGTTTCTCAGTGCATTATGAAATTTATGTTTATATTAAACTGTAATGAATTAAGTGAACGATAGTGCTATGCCTAAATACCAATGCACATACTTTAATTTAAAAAACACCTTCTTGCTAGAAATGCTAACCATCGTTTGACCCTTCAGCAAGTCATAATCTTTTTGTTGTTGGAGGGTTTCGCCTTGATGTAGATAGCTGCTGACTGATCAGAGTGGTGGCTGCTAAAGTTTGGGGTGGCTGTGGTGATTTCTTAAACTAAAACAACAATGAAGTTGCCCTCATCTATTGACTTTTCCTTTCATACAAGATGCTGTTTGATAGAATTTTATCCATAGTAGAACTTCTTTGAAAATTGAAGTCAATTCTCTCAAACCCTGCCACTGCTTCATCAACTAGTTTTTGTAATATTTTTCAATATTGTTGTGTCTCAGGGAATAGGGAGACCCAAGGAGAGGGAGAGAGATGGGAGAACATCAAGTAGGGGGAACAGTCAGAACACACTCTTTTATTAAGTTTGCCATCTTATATGGGTCCAGTTTGTGGTGCCTCAAACAATTCCAATACAATACCAAACATCACTGATCACGGATCACCAAAACAGGTATAATAATAATGAAAAAGTTTGAAATATTATGAGAATTGCAAAAAGGTGACACAGATATAGGATGTGAAGTTATGCTGTTGGAAAAATGGTACTGATAGACTTCCTCGAGGCAGGGTTGCCACAAACCTTCAATTTGCAAAAATAAAATAAAATCCCAATATCTGCTTAGTACAATAAAGCAAAACACAGTAAAATGAGGTATTCTTGTGTAAAATGGGTCTTCCCTTTAGAGATGAATTGACAGCCTAAATTCTTTCAATAATTGTCCTTGAGCAGTCAAAGCAGCATGCATTTAAAAACATTATAATTTATCCTAAATGTTGCAGGGAACAGTGGGGAAAGCACTGTATCTGATGTCAGAAGGTATGGGTTCAAATCCTGACTTTGTTATTTACTATCTGTGTTACTTTGGGGAAATTCCTTAAGCTCTCAAAGCTTCCGTTTCCTCACCTGTAAAATGAGGGGTTTTGATCAGGTGATGTCTGAACATCTGTCTTTTGATCTTATTATGCAAAGTGAGGTTTACTTGTAATTCTTTTGTTACAGAGCTCAATAAATTCCTACCGACTTTGGTAATCAAGATAATGACAGTAGTTTTGGTGATGATAGTAAAGACAATGGTGACCAAGTGGGCTAAGTTCCTTAGAGTTTAAAGCTCCACCTGAAAGCCCGGTTACTCTAAGTCCCTTCCCATGATGAATAAGACAGAAATGACAGTAAGGAAAGGATTCGGTCCTGCTTGTCACTTGATCCCCACCCCACTAGTCAATTATTGTTTTAGCCACTCAGTAGGAAGTCTAGCACTTGGAACCTCAGGAAAATTTTAAGAATTCCTCCCCTCCACCCAACATGATAGACTAGAATAGGAGGACAGTTCAGTGGTTAGGTCAGGTTTAATATATCTTATGGGATTGGAGAGACAAGAGGATGTTTCAGGTGGTTTCCCTGGGTCCCTGATATGACTTCAGGTGATGACTTCAGATGATGGAACTTCAGGTGTCTTCTTGAACATCGGGACTCCTATGGTGATTCAAAGCACTTAGAAAATCTCAAGGGGCAAGATGTTAGGGGGCACTGTGTAGACTACATGGAACACACACTGATGGGGGCAATAAAGGACTACATCTCACCCTAAGAGAGAAAAGTAAATATCTCCTTTCTTCAAATAACCCTTCTCAAATATTTTGACCCCAACATAGTGATGTCATTTTGGTCCTCTTCAAGACCACCACCACCACCGAATTGCCACTCATTTATTCAGAGCCCCTAGTTATCCCAGCTAGAAAGAACCTCTCCTTACTCTGACCTCCTACAGCATATTGTCTGTATCTCTCTTACAGCACTTTTCCATCATCATTGTATATTTGTTTTTCCCCTTACAAGTTGACAAGCTCCTTGAGGGCAATGGTCATTTTTATTTACCTTTTGTATTTCCAGAAGCCCTGAGCAGAGGCTTACAGTGATCAATAAATATTTGTTGAGTGGCTAATAAAAGAATTAGTAAATGGTCAGTTACTTCTAACCTACAAGGCCCAAAAATTGAGAAGGAGGGCATCTGATTTGTAGTAACTGTTCAGTGATTCTGAAAAGTAGAGCATGAGAAAGTCTGTGCTGAGGAGTAGGGCAGGGATGGGTACACTTTAGATGTGGGTGATCTACAAAAATAAGTCTGGCAGAAGCTACAAATCAAAGATGAGATCTGAGACAACAATCCAGCCCATTCTGGAGGAAGGGGCAGGGGCCACCTGAAGGTTTTTAGGAATGGCTACAACCTCAGTGACTGGAGCCCCTGTACCTTAGCCCAGTGGATGGACATCATGAACATCCCCCATAAGTGAGTGGGGGAGGCATCGGGGTCCTAATCCCTAGATAATGCATGGCTTTCTGACAGGCTACTCTAGATCCTAGATTTCCAGAGGAGAAGCCTTAGAGCTCCCATGGGCTGGTGCAATGAAAAGAGCGAAGGATACTGTCAGAAAACTTGGGTTTACATCCAAGCTTTTCCATTTATTACCTATGTGACCTTGAGCAAATGACTAAATTTGTTTGAGCCTCAGCTTTTGCCTCTGTAAATTGAAGGGCCTAAAATAATAGTAGTCACAATAATAATAATTAATAATAATAATGATGGCTAGTATTTATATAGTGCTTTTAGGTTTGCAAAACACTTTATCTCATTTTATCCTCACAATAACCCTAGGAGGTAGGTACAGTTATTATCCCTATTTTGCAGATGAGGAAATTAAGACAAACAGATATTAAGTGATTGCCCAGGATCACACAATTAGTTGTTTGAGGTCAGATATAAACTTGTTTTTTTATAACCCCAGGTCTAACACTCTATCCACTTTGCTACGTAGTTGCCTGCTAGATAATGTTTAAAATCCCTTAAAAACAAGATCAAAAGAGATCATGTTTACAAAGTGTTTAACACAGTGCCTGGAACATAGTAGACACTTAATATATGTTTGTTCCCCTTCCCTTACAACTCAGCAACGTTTTTATTGACTCATGTTCATAGATGTGACTTTGGGGAATGATAGGAATTGTCTGACACGTGCTATGGGTTGGAAAAGACACTCTTCCTCTTAGAGAACTGCATGTCATGCCAACAGCTCAGCCTGGAATACCCTATAAAAGGTGTCCTTGCCTCTTGGTTGTCATCCACTTTTGACTCTTCGGGGACATTTGTGTCTGTGACCAGTGTGAGTATTCCTATGAAAAGAGAGGGAGAGGGGCTTAGAATAGGGGATTGGAGAGCACAAATCAGGGGAGAGAGGCATGGAAAGGGATGAAGGATAGGAAAGCCATGAAAAAATTTAAAAAGGGTCCAACTGAATCAGAATCATGGAAACCTGAGAAAAATATAGGTTGTGCTTCGGTTTTGTCATAGGCTCATGGAGAACCTGTCTGGATCTCCCCATAGCACAAGAAAGTAAGGACCTAGTATCTAGCAGGAAAGGAGCTGCAGTGGTCAGAACTGCTAAAAACTGTGCCATGAACTAGAATCTTAAGGATATTCCCAGGACGTTCAGGGAGCCAGTCCTCTCCCCTCCCCTTCCCATACCCCCACCATCTTGAAACCATATTCTGTTATTTCCTTGGGGATTCTGCATGATTTACTTAATTCTAAATCACATATCCAATTGTTAAGCTAATAAACTGTTAATAACCCATGAATTACCTCAAAGCCCATTGTCTGCTTGAAAAATTACAACCTACAGAGAGTTAGCTAATAGAATGAATTGTGTAAGTCTTCTCTATCTGGATGTTATTGTGTTTTTGATGTAGTTTACTATGTCTCTTGATTCTAAGTGAAGGAAGCTCCTTAACCTGGGTTTCATGCAGCTGAAAAGTGTCTCCATTATCTTCCAGGATTATTGAACTCAACCCAGAGATGTCCTACCAGCAAAACCAGCAGCAGTACCAGCCCCCTCCCAAATGCCAGACCCCCAAGTACCCTCCCCAGGCTCCTTGCGCTCCTCCTGTCTCTTCTGGCTGTGGGTCTAGCTCTGGGGGATACTGTGGGTCCAGCTCTGGAGGATGCAGCAGCTCAGGCTTTGGGGGTGGCTGCAGCCTCTTTTCTCACCACAGGAGATCCAATAGATGCAGGCGCCAGAGCCCTAGCCGCTGTGACAGTGGCTGTGGCCGCAGCCAGCAGTCTGGGGACTGCGGCGGGAGCTCTGGGGGCTGCTGCTGATCCGATGTTCTTGGCTAAGTGCTGACCTGGAGGGATCAAGAGAGGCAACCTCCCATCTTCCATTTGCTCCTTGCTCCTTCTTCTCTTTAATTTCCCCTGGGATCTGAGCGGATAAGATATCGTGGGGTGCCAAATGGAGTCCAGGAGGACCATTTCATCTCATCTCAAACCCTGGATCTCAAACTTGAACTGAATCATCTCTGCCTCATTTGTCTCATGTAATAATAAAGCTCTATACAGTCGACAATTGTCTCCTGTTCTAAATTCTTCCCCTTTTACAGCCAAAGTTTCCCTTGCTGTACTGTGTCCCTACACTACAGCTTTATGCCTGCCTCAGTTACTGGTGGGGCAGTGCCTGTCCAGGGTTTTTCTCCACACATATCCAAGAGGACATGGAACATCAGTACATGCTTTACCAAGTTGAAAATCAGTTCATTGTGAGCACCAGCACTCCCCCAAATGGAAGGAGCTTCCCAGGGCAGATCTCACAGAGCAGAGGACAGAGAGGGTCAAAGGGGGTTCTAGGTTTTGGGGACCACTCATTTCATGAAGTAAAAGACTCATTGGGAAAAGTCAGTCAAACAATATTGGGAAAACATACAGACCCTGGAGGTGGAGAGGCTAAAGACCTGCCCGGAAGAGGCCTCCCTGTCTTCTGGTTTGGAGCAGACAGTTTGGAGAAGCAGGGCTTGGTCTGATTATTTAGGAGGGCTCCTTCATTGTATCTACTGAATAGAGGTAAAGAAAGCTCCTTAGAATGAGCTTTATGCATCTGAAAAGTCTCTCTACTTCACAATTACTGAACTCACCCAGAAATATCCTGCAAGCAAAACCAGCATAGTGCCAGCCTTTGCTATGGAGTCTTTCAAGATATAATGGATATGGGATATGTGTGTTTTCCCTATTCTTTCCCTCTTTGCACTAGTCCTGGTTGCCAAATCAACTCACTTCTGCCACAGAAGGGCAGAGGCATCTCAACAGTTTCCCCCTTCTCCTCCCATGCCTCTTCCTGCCCCCAGGCAATACCTCTTTTCATCAGATGCAGACTTTCATCCCAGAAAAAATAGGTCCCTCTTCTACCCTCCAAATCTCAGTGTCCAAGGACCTCTTTCACCCCACTCCCCTGTCTAGACCCTGTCTCCCTCTCCCACCATCTTTCTGAATTCTGTCCATGCTCTGGACTTTTTTCTCTCTCTATTCTAAGCTTTGAGAGAAATGATTATTTCTCTCTTTTATTAATAGTCAATTATTGAACTAGGATTAAGATTTTTCCCCTTTATTTTCCTCATTTCAAAATCAGCTCCTGTAGGTTATTTAGGCAGCCTTTGAAATGCAGGGCTTATAATGAGATGAAGCCCAACTGGAAAACTCAGATCTGATCAAAAGGTAAAGAAATTTTAGTTTAGGTGAATTGGTGGATTCTGGTCCATTGTGATTTAGTCAGACAGGTCTAGACAGAAGTGGATTCCCTCTTTTTCTAGATTACCCTAGATGGGGCGATATGGGTGTAGATAAGTCTCTGACCAAGATTGAGTGATCTGAGTCACATCCTCCAGACCCTCATTAGAATAATCCCACCTCTCATTATAATATTCATTCTCTCATTACTTGTTAGCCAGAGTTGATTGCCACCCTCAGGAACATCCACTCTTCCAAGAGCATATAAGCATTGAATGGGTTCAATGGGTCTTTGGCATTTGAGAGTGCCACTACCCATTTTATTATCTTCTAGAACAATTAATAAAATGATTAACTACCCAGAAACTGTATCCCTTGAACTTTTTATATGTCACATCTTCTCCCAAATCCTCTCATCAAAAAGGACCCAACTCTCATTTTCTTATTAACTACAAAGCAAGGTTATACGTTTGTAAATTAATACATGCTAAGATGAACCCAGGTCTCTTGACTCAAGTCCAGTATTCTACCTGGGACAAAGTCTTACGTCAAAGGAATCATTCTCAAAAGGTGGGTTTTCTGGCCCTGTGACAAGCCATTGCAATAAGAACATTTGGAAGATAAGTGAGGGGTGTCTTTCTGGTATCCCTCAAACCTTGAAAACTCCATTAGCTAACTAGCCTTCTGCTGCACCTACCCAGAGTTCACTCAGATTACAAGGATGGCTTGCCTTGACATGCCATGATTTCTGTGAGCTTTCTCTATGAAGAGCCTTTGGGACTGCTCTAGGATAACATGGCCAGCAAGAGATGGGCATTGTAGAGGATGATTAAGGAGCATGATCAAGACATTATCATTCTGTGGCCATTTTCCAGCTTGCTGTGACTTTTGGAAGGGGCCAGGTCCCCCAGTATATGCAGGAAGGGCTTGGTTTTCGTAACATGGCACTTTTGGAGGAGGGCCAGTACAAGCAAAGGCTCCAGAAAATCGTACCGAGAGATGGGGTAGAATTTGAATCTCTTTGTTGTGGCTGTTATTGTTTATTCTTCATTCTTTTTTTTATTATTTTTTTTTAGGCATTTGGGGTTAAGTGACTTGCCCAGGGTCACACAGCTAGTAAGTATCAAGTGTTTGGTCTGAGGCCTGATTTGAACTCAGGTCCTCTTTACTTCAGGGCCGGTGCTCTATCCACTGCATCACCTAGCTGCCCTCATCCTTCATTCTTGAAGAGGACCAGTGACATCATGAGGTTTAACTATCATGAGGCTAATGACTTGCTTATGAACTGGATTTGAGTGAGGCACAGCCGTGCAAAGTCATCAGCCTCACTTTCTTCTCCAGAGTCATTGAAGTTCAGTGGCGAGACAAAAGTTAAGATGCCTGGTGGTGGCCTGGAATGTGGTGGGTGACACTGGCCTTTCTAAATTAAGATCTTTCCCAGGTCTCAATTTGTCTGAGGCAATACCCATTAAATGACTAAAGGCTAGGTAGGAATAGAGACCAAAAATGCCCCAATTTACCATCACAAAAATATTAGCTGGGGAGGGAAAGACCCTCAGAGTTTCTATCTAGAACAGAAAACAATTGCTATTCATACTCATTTTAAGCCATCAAAACCTAAACAAATCTGAATCTCTTTCCAACCTTGGGGTGGAGGAGAGAAGGAAACAACAATCAGTAGAGGTGTTTGGGATGAGGATGACAGACATAGAAGCTGAGAGTGACAAGGAACAGAGACAACAGGTGTCTACACTCATTCTAGTCTGCAGTACCGAGCCTTATGCCCACACATACTTTCCATAATTCCTGGGAAAACAGAGTGCTCTATCTTTCTTAATGGCTAACTAATCGAGCAGTTAGGTGACAAAGTAGATAGAGTACTGGGCCTGGGTTCAGGATAACATCTTCCTGAGTTCAAATCCAACCTCAGACACTTACTAGTAGTGTGATTCTGGGCAAGTCACTTAGCCTCATTTGCCTCAGTTTTCCCATCTGTAAAATGAGCTGGAGAAGGAAATGGCAAACCACTCCAGTATCTTTGCCAAGAAAACCCCGAATGGGGTCACAAGGAGCTGAATAACAACAACAAAAACTAATCCATGGGTCTTTGAAGGTTCTTTTGTCTGTCTACTTTAATCTCTATTTTGTTGAAATCCTGGTTGAAATGTTAAGCTGTATATATTAGTGCTTTGGGTTCAGTGTTGGGGAGAGGGAAAGTTGGATTGAGAAAGAGTCAGGAGGGAGAGATTATAACTGCTCTGTTTACCAGAGCAAGATTTTTGGCTGGGGGCTCACAATCACAGGAGAGATAGAAATAATTGCTTTATTTTAACATCTTCCAAGACTAGAAAGAATACATTGGGGGCAGCTAGGTGGTGCAGTGGACAGAACTCTGGTCTTGGAGTCAGGAAGACCTCAGTTGAAATGCAGATTAGACACTTGACACTTATTAGCTGTGTGACCCTGGGCAAGTCACTTAACCCCGATTTCCTCACCAAAAAGCACAAAAAAAAATACATTGATTGGAATTTCTCTAGGCATCCAAGGAGTCAGTGACATTACAGAAATGTGGTGTGGCCAGGCACAGTCATTAATTCTCTGATTGGCCAGTTTAAAAGGAAACCCTGCCTTAAGGGTGCAGCCGGGGAAGAAAGTCACACCCAAGAGAAAAGTGAACTCTTTAGTATATGGCTGTCCTCCAAAAGTGCCACGCTTCCAAAATCAAGCCCTTCCTGCATACACTGGGGGACCTGGCCCCTTCCAAAAGTCACAGGAAGCTGGAAAATGTCCACAGAATAATGTCTTAATCAGACACCTTAATCATCCTCTACAATACCCATCTCTTGCTGGCCTCCCTCATTAAACATATGACGGTCCTTTTCATAACCTGGGTTCCTATTCACTCCTACCCTCTTGGCTTGGAAAAGAGGGAGGATGGATGTTGCTTTTCTGATTTGTTTGTCTGGGTATATGTGTATGAGAGAGACAGACAGACAGACACAGAAGCAGAAACAAAGACAGAGACATAGACTGAGGGGGTGACAGAGAGAGAGACAGAGACATTAATATAATTAGAGGCAAAATATGATCCATTGTTTACGTTGCTAAAAGACACCGCCTCCCCCAAAAAAGAGAAGAAAAGCCCAATGTGCTTGCTATAGGATCATAACAAAAATGAGTTTCAATTCTTTAACTTTTTGCTTTTCAGAATTATGATGGCAGTCCCTTCTCCTGAACCTGACAGAGACAGAGCCTGAAGGGAGACAAAGGGAGAATATGTGGATAATGTAATGAAGTCGTTTAGGAAGTATGGGTAGATAAGGTGACTGGTCTGGGGTATGACTGCAGGCTGGGATAGGAGGAAGAAGGCAGTTATCCAAAGATGTTTTAATTTGTCCCAGCAGGGTCATAGATGTGTCACAAACCAGAAAATGTTTGGAAACACACGTGCACAATGAGAGGCAGCATAAAGAAACATTCAATTGGAAGTAGAACACCAGGTTTCATAGACCTGCTTTGCTGCCGATGAGCTGTGGGACTTGAGCAAATCACTTCATTTCTCTAGGCCTCAGTTTCCTCACTTGTAAAAGTAGGATTTTGGATGAGATAGCTAAGAAGGTTTTTTCTTCTTTGAGATCTATAGGAGTGGTTTAGGGGATAGGGAGCTCTCCTTAAAGACAGTATAGGCCTGGGTTCAAATCCCATTTTTTGACACCTGTCTGTCACATAACCCTGAGCAAATTCTTTACATTTTTGGTTTTCTAACTCTATAAACAGTGTATTGCTGACAAGGGACTGACCGTCATTGGTAGAGACCCCACTCCTAGTAGAGGACATCCTCTCACT